GCCTGTAGTCCCAGCTACTTGGGAGGCTGAGGCAGGAGACTCGCTTGAGCCCAGGAGTTGGAGGTTGCTGTGAGCGTGATACCATGGCACTCTACCCAGGGGGACAGCTTGAGGCTCCGTCTCAAAAAAAGAAAGAAAGAAAAAAAAAAGAATCCTTATGAATGACAGAAGACGGCAGGGGGGTCAGAGGAAGGAAGTGAAGGCAAAAGCTGGCAGTGATGAGACTGTCTGCTGGGGCCATGGGCCAAAGAATGTAGGCAACTTCAAGAATCTGGAAAAGGAAGGAAATGGACTCTCTCCTAGAGCCTCCAGAAGGACTGCAACTCTGCTGACACCCAGGATTTAGTCCTGTGAAACCCATTTCGGACTTCGAACCGTAAGGACTAAGAGATGATAAATATGTTGTTTTAAGCTCAGCATGATACCACCTGTGGTAACCAGTTATAGCAGCCAAAAAGAAACTAACACCCAACCCTAGAGGCCAGGACGCCACCTGCATCCCATAGGCTTAGCAAGGTCTGATTCCTCTGAAGTAGGAAGCCAGAGAAACAAGTCTGTCACTTCCTAAAGGATACCCACCACCACCACCCCCAAGCCAGGCCATGGCACAGGGCTGGACACAGCTGCCAGTCTCCACTGCTGATCTTACTCTGGAAACTGGAGGCCAAGTAGAGCTGCAGGGCCCATCTCTGGGCCTCAAGTTTAAGCTGGTGCTGATTCCTTGATCTGAGCTCTACACACTATGAGAAAACCAGCACTCCTTTCCCCTAGCAGGGCAAGACTTACAAGGGCCTGGAGGAATGCCCTCCAGACACATGTTCCCTCCCAGCAGGGAACAAGCAGGAGACTGGCCTCCAGAGCCCGTGCCTACAGTATGCATGTACCCTGTGGGATGACATCACTTATTCCAGGCTCACTACAATGTTAATGCCTCAGAAGCTGCCAGGGCAACAGAGAGGCACACAAAGGATGTGAGAATAAAAACACTCTTTGTGGCAGTCTAGGTCTGGAGCCATCATGTCCCGCCAGGACACAGTACCACACACATCACTCTAATTTTGCTCCAAAGGGGTGAAACAATCAGCATTATGGTGTGGGGGGATCAGGCATGTGGCTTGGCAGAGCATGAGCCCACTGGCACATGGGTGCAAGTACTCACTCCAGCCAGGGATTTCTGGATGTTCTCTCTGGCTCTCGCAATGTCTCGTAGAATCACACTGGCGCCATTCTCCTGCAGTGCAGAAAGAACCAGTCTTTTTCTTGTGTCAAAAAAATGTAACGAGCCTTCACATAGAGCAAAAAGTAGTGTGTAGAGTGAAAGCTCAGTAGGATAGGAAAAAAAAAAAAAAGGGAAGGTGCATGAGGCCCTGGCATGAGCTGGTACATGCACCCCTCAGGGGCTCCATGTGAGGCCTGCCCTGCACTGCCAGGCACTATCTGCTCATGGGCCCAGGAGATGGCAAGACCAGGAGCCAAGAGCATACCCATAAAAGAGCCAGCCACGGCCACCGTCTGAAGAGCCCACTCCCAGCCCCAGGAGCAGGGCTACTCAGCTACAGTGTGTCTAAGCCACGCCTGCTGGGCAGCACCGCCACCCAGTGTCCCCAAGCACAGCCCTCACCTGTGAGGAGCCTGCCATAGGCCCGTTCATCTGCTCATAGAATTTCCTTTCTGCATCATCATACTTGAACTTGTCAAACCAGATCTTCTCATGGACTAGGAAGTTTGTAGCCATTTTTCTGCTGGGATGGGGAGGAAGGTCTAAGTAAGTGTGGCTTAGAGGAGAAGGTTCAAGATAGCTCCTGACCTCACCCTCCCCCACGGCTTTTTGGAATAGCTCAAAATAAGCAGGGTGTGCTACAATACCCCAATCTGTCCGACACCAGTTCTGGGGTTCTGGGCCATCTCAGTCCTTGGTGACAAAGGCGGTGGACCCTAGGGGAAACACGAGTGGCCTCCGTATGAAGGCCCCCCATACACAAAGCACCCTGAGCCCCTAGTACAGTTGCCACTGGTGCTGGGGCAGGGTCCCCAGGCCTTCCTCCAGATCAAAGACTCTTCAAGAACCTCTGGGGGTCCCTGAGGTCCTGTTTTCAACTATAGGAGGCTGGATTTACATCAGTGAAACTACAAACACCAACACTCTGAGTGCAGGAACAAGTGAGAGAACCCAGCTGACCCGACTAGGCCAGACTACGGACATGCAGAAAAGTAAAGTCAGGCTGCTCCAACTTCTGGCCTCCAACAGTGCTGGGAGTATAGGCGTTAGCCACCAGGCCCAGATGAAATTTTTGTTAATGGGAAAAGTGTTTCTCATAAAAACGTGTAATTAGCACATAACAAGCTTCTTCTTCAACAAATAAGTACGTTTCACATTCCTCAGCTTGCTAACATGGTAAAACTCAACAGACACAACAACTGCTCTGGGGACCGCAAGACCAGAAAGCTCAAGAGGTGCTGCTCTGGACCAGGGACCCTGGCCTGTGGGTCACAGCCAGCCTCCACCTGTTTTTGCAAATCACATTTCATTGGTACCACCAGTCACCCGCAGCTGTGCCACACTCACGCAGTCCAAACCACCTCCTCCCTGAACAGCCAAGTCTCTCCTACTACCCATCAAGTGTAACAGCAACCTGATCCTAACCCCACTCTGTCACCAATCTCTGTGTCAAGTCCCCAGCCATCTCTGGGTTTTACCAAGCATCACCTTGGCACAGTGACTGTCTCCACTCCCCCAGGAGGCTCTTGGTCTCTAGGGCACCACAAACAAGACAGGTCAGGGTAGGAAATCCCACCATGGGGTCTCACCCCACTGCCACACCAATGCCCCATCTTGTCAAACCAGCAAATTTAGCCTCACCCGTCTCTGGGAGTCTGGGGACCAAGGTTGGGACCCTAGCTGGGATCTTCCAAGCCCTTCCCTGACCCTCTCACCACACATCTCCCCTCCCCAGCAGGGAACTGTGGCCTGCCCTCTATTTTCCCTTCTGTCTCCAGCCACCTGCCTACAGCTGGTGGGGGTGGGGACTACTCCATTGGTCAGGCCCTAGTCCCCCAGCCCTGGGCCTCCAGACAACCACAGGGGCTGCAGTAGGTGATCAAACTGGGCTCCCCTCACCCTGAGGCCACCTGAGTAGTGCATGCTTGTGTTTGAGGTGCCTATTGCCCCTCAGAAGTGATCACAAACAAGGGAAGCTGGGGAAGGACAGTAGGCACAGGTTCCCCATCCTACCCCCCTAGGGGAGCAAAGAGGCCAAACATCAACTTCAACACTCCCTATCTGCCCTGTGAGCAACCTCATCATCTCAGCGTGTGACGTCCCAGGGTGTGAGGGCTGAGGGGACAATAAGGAATTGCCTAGCCAAAGCGGGAAATGCCGTGTGGGACTGATTCTCCCCTGTGCTGGTCCTTCCCTACCTCCACACCGACAGCCTAGAAGTTTGTAACCCTCAAGGTTAGTAAGTTTGGAAGCTACACTGCCCCAAAGACACAGCATCACTCTCTTTCAAACTGTGCCTGCATCCAGAGGTCTTGGGGACAGCCAACCAGGGCAGGGTGGGGGAACATGAGAAGCCCCAGCTTGGGACAGCTGTCCCTGGGCCCATAGCCCAGGCTGGGCCGAGCACCTGCCCAGCACATTTCTCCTACTTGGGTCTTAGGCTGGACATGGATGGGCCAGAGCGGGGACTGGGCCGGTGAGCCAGGGAGGCAGCTTCAAGGCGCCAGGCCATGTGAAGGGCCTCCGCAGCGTGGTGGCGGCACTCGGCGCTGTCGTAGGTGGGTTTGCTGAGCCAGGGGGCCTCCGCATCCTTGTGCAGAAAGTACCAGCAGGGCAAAGCAGAGGGGGCCTCCCCGTCGACCCGCCGTGACCCGGCCCGCTTGCTCCCCAAGGCGTTGCGGCCCCGCCGGTCTCTGCGGCCCCGCCGGGCACCCTCAGCTTGGCCAGCTCGCTCCTGTAGGCGCACCTTTCCAGGGGGATGGCCATCAAACAGGGCCTCGTAGAAGCCCCTCTCAGCTGCATCATACCGGGGCTTCTCCAGCCATACTTCCTGAACCAGTGCCTGGAGGCTGCCCAGCGGGGGCTGGCCATTGGCTGGCGGGCTGGGTAGGAGGGCCAGGTCAGGGGTGGCCTCCTGCTGGCCTGTGTCAGGACCCCCTTGACTGCAGCCCCCCTGGGCAGCCAGCAGCAGGGCCTGAGACCACTCCACAAAAGCCCGCTCGGCCTGGTCAAAGGAAGACTTATTGACCCAGATCCCCCAGGTCACATGGTGGCAGGCCACCTGGCTGCTGTGGACACAGGGACCCCAAGAGGTTGTGACCGGCTGTTGGGTTGCTTGGGCAACTGCATCTGCCAGCCTCTGGCGGTAGGAGCTCTCTGCCTGATCGAAAAGTGACTTGTCTAGCCACACGTGGTCAGCTGATAGGCCCACAAGGGCCAGGTCTGCCTGGCCGAGCCAGCTCTTAGGGGAGCGCTTCCGCTTCTTCTGCAGGGGCTTCCTGCTGTCATGGCTTCTGCCAGGATCGCTCCTGCAGCTGGTGTCAGGGGCCTCTGCCTCGTCACCATCCTCGATATCCTCCTGGCTGGGCCCATTCATGGCTGGTACCTCAGCCAGGAGCTGCTGGGCAGAGGTGGCGGCTTGCGTGGCCTCATGCTCGTAGAAGCGCCGCTCAGCCTCCCCATACTTGTGCTTGTCCTCCCAGACAGCCTCCAGGGCACAAGAGGTCTTCCTGCTCCTCATCTTCCGGATGCAGCATTGAAAAGCAAGCACAAGAAGGCAGTTGCAACACAGTGGGACACACCGCCTCCCCCAGGCCCTCCCTCCTGGGGGAAGCAAATGGCATTGGGGACAATTCCCAGGGGGTCCATGAGATCAAATTCAAGGACTCAACAATCAAATGAGGGGGGCATTTTTATACAGCCAAAAATATACACACGTGTATGTTTATTCATATTTTAACTTCAAAACTTCCCTTCACTAATCTGACATGCCCCACAGTTCTCCAGAAGGGGTCTAGGATTATGATTTTCAAGCCTCTTTGGCCACAGAAACCTTCTTATAGAACCTAGTTTCCAGACAGAATATAAACAGAATAGACTCAGTTAAATTTGACTTTAATTCTGCGTTTTTGTGTAGGCTACACTCAACCATGCTTCCCCTCAGCACAGCTGCAGGTCTCAGAAAAGGGGCAGCCTCCTTGTGGGTTGTGACTGTCCTCTAGGGGAAGGGCTGGGCAACCAGGCCCAGAGGGTACAGCCCTGCCCCTCCCACCAAAAGGCCAAAGCAATAGGAGACACCAAGGAGGTTGCTGTGACTGCAAAAAAGGGAAGCAACAACAAGTGGACAGCTCCAGCCTCCTCAGCCAGTGCTCCCACCTTCCCAGACTGGGGTACATCGAAGTAAAGGAACCCCAAGAAAACACTAGAGGCCCAGCACTGTGGGGCAGGCTGTAGGGCTCTCCCTCCACTTACTGCTGTGGCCAGTGGATGAGGCTCTGGTCCCAGGTCTGAAGCACACGCCAGCATCCATGCAAGGTCACAGTCTTGCCTGTTGCTTCCTAACCCTCCCGGGGGTGTGCGGGCCCTACCCTATGCCCAGAATGCCTTGGCAACACCCTTCGCAGCAGGAACAGCAGAGGCCTGGGCCACTGCAGGCTCTCGCTCAAAGAGGCTCCTGTCCAGACAGCCAGTGGGTAGGTCTGCTTTTAGGACACAAGTGCTCCTGCTCAGCTGGTTCACTTAGGTGAGGACTGTGACTGTCATGGGACTCTTCCCAGCCATACCCAACTTGGGCTGCACTCTCCATAGCCAGAAGCACCCAGGCCTAACCAACACCTTGAAGCTAACTACTTATGGACATCTCTGCCATCCTGCCACTTCTCTGGGTTTGTCTGGTGGAGCCAGACCCCACTCACATGAGGGGCAGCCTTTGGCCCGGACAGCAGCAAATACTTCTTTTCCTACCACTGGCTGTGGGGTCCACAACCCTCTCCTGACATGCACCCCCAGTGAAACCAAAGCCCATTTCAATGACCCAGTGGCCATGTGGCTGTGTAAATCCCACATAGGTGGAGAGGACTTCTGGGAAAGCATGCCTATTGTGTTCTGAAGCCCATCCTCTGAGGGGAGTGTAGAGGCTGTCAAAGCCTAGGGCTCCCAGCAGGGCCTTCTAACTGGACCAGCAGGAAGCCAGGCCAGGAGATCACATGGGTCCCGGGTAAAGAGAGAGTCCCTGGGCTGCCCCTTCATGCCTCCTCCCCAGGCTGGGGCAGCACTTACCAAGGCCAGGCTGACGGGCAGAGGCTGGGTCAAGGTGGGAGGCGGCAGGAGGAGCCAGCAGGCAGGGCATTGTGACATCACCCACTGTTGCTGAGGGGCAGTGGGCTTTCCTGGAGCCATAGGCCAACCTGGCAGGGCCTGTCTGTCCCCCATCCAACCTCTCTGGTTCCTACAGACCAGCAATTCTAAGCTGGGCTCAGTCCCTGCAGCAAGCTAGCCCTCAATCCCAATGCCCCGCGAACCCTTACTGGCCTAAGTGTCCTCAAACCAGACTCCTGGGGGCTCTCCTGGCAGCAGCTAAGGGAGGAGAAACCATTTCTAAGATTCTGCCAGCAAGAGACTAGGCCACTTAGACCTGGGGCTGCTATCTCTTCCCCACAGGGAGCAGAGTGCCACATGCTGACCTGCCTGGTCCAGGCCAGGGCCCTACTCAGGGCCACACAGTATGTCCTCTGCCGCTGGCCCCCAACAAACCCCACTCCTTCACTTGACAGATGAAGACACCATGGCAGGCTGGCCCTGTACCAGTGGAGTTGGGGTTCCTCAGCAGGGAGGACCAGGGAGAGAGGAGTTTACCAGATCAGACACTGGGAAACACAGTGTACCAGTGCAGGTGGGTACTCACTTTTGCTCTCACCTCCTAGGACAGCATGAAGGAAAAGCAGCAAGGTTAGAGGCAGTCAGAAAAGCTAAGCACGTCAGACATATCAGCTGGGGCAGCCCGAGCAGGCCCAATGTAGGGCGTGGAGGTAGAAGGTAAGTGCCAGACAGACCCACCACCACGATCCCAGGTGGTGCTGAGTCCACTCGCTTGAAGTGGCGATGCTCTGTCATCCCTTGGAGGGGTAGTTCTTGGGGCCATGAGCTGAAGCCCAGGCAGGCCTTGGGGGACAAGTAGGGACCACCATCTGAGCCACCCCCACCTGAACCCAAGGCAACCCGGGACAAGGCAAGTCAGCACCCATTGGTGGCCCTGGATTGCCAAGAACCCCCAGCCTCTCCCCTGAGCTGCCTCAGGCCTAGGCTGGTACAGGAGGTTGGAAGACAACACAGACACCGCCCCCCCCATCAGCAGGCAGGAGGTAATCTGGGCCTAACCAGCCCCAAGATGAGGGCTTTGCTGACAGCAAGGCCCAAGGCCATCACTGAGACAGGGCCTTTCACTCAGCAGGAGTCACTGTCAAGACAGGGCTGCCACTCAACAGCCCCATGTGAGTGGCAAAAGGCTCTCAAGGGACACAAAGGCACCAGATTTGCTCTCCTCAGGGTACACAAAGGGGTGAAAATTTTGCCCTTTATACCTAGGCTGGAGGTCCTGTCCCTTAGCCCATAAGAATCGCCTTATAAAGCCAGCAAGCTCTGGAGAGGCCAGCTGAGTATAGGTGACAGGACCCAGCCACCCACCCCTGCCCTGGTGGGATTGGGGAGTCACCCCCTGCTGCTGAACCTCCAGAGAGCCCTGAGGATCTGTCTTCCTTCTCTAACGGAGTTGTGCCCTCCAAGGCCCCTGCCTACCCCTGTCCAATGCAGGCTACTGCTGAGAGCCCACTTAGGGAGGAGGTACCAGGCACCCTGCAGGCTGAAAAGATGAGGAGGTAACTGCCCCATGGAAGCAAGAGGCCCTGTGCAGTTCTCCTGCAGGAAGTTCTCAGGAGACACCAGAGTCACGCTGAGGCCTTGGCAGCCATGCCTGTCACCTGGGAGGCTGGTCAGCACAGTCCCCAGCACTCCGAGCCACAAACACATGCTGGGGGGGGGAGGGCTGCTGTGTTGACAGTACTGTCTCTAACAGCAGAATAGCAAGTGTGAGTTTAAGCACTTGCTTAAGAATGCACACATGCAAACATATCAGGCTTTCCAGTAAGAGTAGCCCAGAACATGACAGTCAGCCCCTCTCTCCTGTAGTGTACCCAGTAGTGGCAGGAACTTGGTGAAGAGAGAATGGGGCACAGGGAAGAAAGCTGCCAGAGAAGCAGCCTCATAAGCACAGTAGCAAAGACCTAGGGGAATTTGGCCTGAGTCCTCAACTCTGCTCCTGGAAGCAGGCTGGAGTCCAACTGCAGGGTGACCACTAAAGCCAGCCCTCTGAATGCTCTCTCCTGAGAGGTAGCCAGTACCCCCAGATCACCAAGCCTCCATGAGCTACTGAGGGTGCAAGGGTGCTGTGGAGACCAAGCTCTGGAAGGCCCACGTGGCTACCAGGACCTGTGGTGCAGACTGCTGAGTGGCCCTAGCACAGGTGGCCCCAGTAGGACTTGCTGAGTGAACCCCCTGTCCCTCTGCAGCCAAGGAGGATGGCAGATGCTCCACAAACACATGGCAAGGGTATGGGGCACTGCCTCATGGCCTCTGCTCACACAGCTGGGCATTGCTTCCAGTGTCAGCACAGGACCCTCCTGGTTGGAAGAAGCAAGTTAAAGTTGGCAACAGGGAGGGTTCTGAGAGGAGTTGGCTCCCCAGGCCTGGTCCTCCATACTTCCTGCCCTCTAATGGCAGTCTACCTAGGTCACCCCATCAGACAGAGACACACACAGATACACACATACAGAGGGGCACCCAGACTGTCCATCTTCCATAGGGAATTGGCAAGGTGGGTGGGGTCTGCCAGCACCCAGCCTACCTCAACCTACAATACCCTCTCAGGGCTCACCTGGCTGGTCCAGCCCAGCCTGTGGACCAGTGCTTCCCCACAGAACTTTCTGTATCTCCAGTGCCCAAAAGGGCAGTGACTAGCACTTGAAATGTGGACAGAGTGCCCAAGAAGTAGCTTTTTTAGTCAATCACACAGCAGGGCAGCCACATGGGACAGCAGAGTTCATTTGCCCATGGAAGTGATGCCTTTGGTCTTTTGGGGTGGCAAACTCCAAAGGCCCAAATTCCCACTCAGGTGTTTTGCTGTCCAACTCCTGAGTATTCCAGTCCTACTCAGAAATGCTAGCCTGTCCTGTGGCAGGAGGTGGGCCCTGCACACGGAGACCTAGAAGGCTAAAGCTACCTCAGCCACCTGCCCCAGGCCCAGCCAGCCCCCAAAGCAGCCTTGCCTCATAAGCCACCAAAATGCAGTTCTATTTCCAGGCATCTTGTGGTACTATGGCTTAACCTCAACAGCCCCACCAAAGTCCCCACCCACCCCAGGCCAATCCAGCCCCTACGCTGAATCTCACACACACCTAGGCCAGAAGGGCAATGTTTTTACCCAGCAGGGAACCTCCAAGTGGTCATAGCTGCTTAGCCAGGAAGGGGAGGACCCACGGCATGCTGGTACTTGGTGTAAATGTCTCACTGTCACCAGCTTCCAACACCCATATGCTATCATGAAACATTGGCATAGGAGGATGATCTTCATATGCTCAATGCCTACATTTCTTGCCCTTAGCCCTCAAAAAGCTAATGCAAAAGTGCATGGTATTCTTTTTATCCAGTCTCAGGCACATTTGACTCCATGCTAAACCTTGCAGCCACAGCCACATCCAAGCCATCCTGAGCATATGATGGTGAGCAGCAGCGCACTCCTGAGAAATGAGAAAACAAGAGGCACGTACTGAAATGGCCACTGTACAACCGGTAAGGGCACTCACTGGCCCTCTTACCTCCTGGCAGAAGCCATTTTCTCAAGGGACACCCAGGGCTCATTTATTTCTGCCCCATATACTGTGACACCCACCCTACCCCCAGCATACGGCTGGGCACAGAGGGGCCCAGGAAATGACCAAATGGGCTCTGAAGGGTTCATGCAGTCAAGGGCACAGGATAGTCAGAGCTGCAGGGTCTCCCTAAGGTGTACTACTATGTTAATTTAAAAAGCACCCCTGTCAGAGACCACACAAGATTTACCTACACAAACGGCTTTTCTGCACCAGCCCTTCCTTCCCGAAACCAACCCTAACATCCCACAGCTCTCCACCCCACTCCACCCCCTCTGCCTTCTTCCTTCCACTTACAACCTCTGAAAGTGCCCATTTCTCAGGAACAGCACCACCATCTCCTTCAGAGACTGCTGGGACCACTTTATCCAAATCAGGACAACCCTATTCTCAACTAGTGCACAAAATACATTCTTATTCTTGCCCTCACGAGCTGCATCCGTACCTGTCCTTCCTATGCCCACCATAAACGTGCTGCACGAACTTGCAAGGAATACAAGCCCGAAGAGGATCTGCTGAGGAGCAGATGTCGTCAGTCACCCAGAGACGGTTGTCAACAACCCCTAGGCCCCGGTGGCAGGTTTCCACGACCTGGGCCTCGGTGTATGTGGCTGGTTTCCACAGCCGCCGTGTCGTCTGCCGGCCCAAATGCTGCCCAAACCAGGAGGCCCCCGAAGCCCGGGCCTGTCCAAGGCCTCCGGGCCGGCCACGTGGCCGCCGCCCCGCCCTCTGCGCTGGCTATAGAGCCGCACTTGGCCCCCGGCCCCCAAGCCAGCACGCCGGCGCACTTCGTTCCGATTCCCAAGGGCGCGAGCCGTTGGCGCAGCCCGAGCCTCCCGCCCTCCCGGCCCCACGGGGCTCGGTACGCATGTGGCTCCTCCCGGCGGGGGCCGCGGTACTCACACGCCAGCCAAACACACGGCGACCGGGGAGAAACAAGGAGCGCAAAGCGTCTGAGGAAAGGAAGAGCCGCCCAGGCCGCGCACCGGAAATGAAGTTCTGGGCTCTACCAACGGCCGCGGGGGAACGCGGCTCTTGAGCACGTCCCGGCTCGCCGTGCAGACCTTGGTGCGACAAGCCCCAAAACTACAAAGGCAGAAGCCAGGTGGAGACGGCCACTCAGGTCGCTCTTTCCGCAGCAGTGCGCACAAAATGCCAAGAACAGGGCCTCAGCCCATCTAACTCCCTCCACTGTGCATCTAGTGGAGTCGCCCAGCCTTGTCGGGGCAGTCAGCACGCAGGCGTCGCGGCGGGGCGGGGCTGGGTCAGCGCGCCTGCGCTCTCTAAGATGGCCAGACAAAGGGGAGGGCCCCGTGCGGCCCCGCCCCCGGAGCCCCGCCCCGAGCGGTCCGGCGTGTGGCTCCCGCCCCCGTGGTGCCCTCCGCCGCCGCCGCCATGTATTCCGCGGTCCCCGCAGCCGGCCCACTCCCGCGCCGCGCCCGCCGCCCCCCGCCCGGGCGCCCTGCCGAGCCGCCGCGGCCTCCGGCGCCCGCCCCGTCTGCAGCCGCACGGCCGCTGCCCTCAGCCCCCGGGCCGCGGCCGCGCGTGGCAGTGAAGATGGCCTTCCGCAAGGCCTACTCCATCAAGGACAAGCTGCAGGCCATCGAGCGCGTTAAGGGCGGCGAGCGGCAGGCCAGTGTGTGCCGCGACTTCGGCGTGCCCGGCGGTACGCTGCGCGGCTGGCTCAAGGACGAGCCCAAGCTGCGCTGGTTCCTGGAGCAGCTGGGCGGCGAGGTGGGCACGCAGCGCAAGAAGATGCGGTTAGCCAACGAGGAGGAGATCGACCGCGCCGTGTACTCGTGGTTCCTCGCGCTGCGCCAACACGGCGTGCCGCTGTCAGGGCCTCTCATTCAGGCGCAGGCCGAGGCCTTCGCGCGCCAGATCTACGGGCCCGAGTGCACCTTTAAGGCTAGCCACGGCTGGTTCTGGCGCTGGCAGAAGCGCCACGGCATCTCCAGCCAGCGCTTCTACGGCGAGGCCCGGCCCCCGGGCCCAGGCCCCGCGCCTGGACCGCCGGTCAAAGAGGAGCCCGCGCTGCCCACCGGCGCCGGGTCCCTGCCCGACCGCGCCCCGGCCCCGCCACCCCCCTCCGAGGGCGGATACGGCGACGAGCAGATCTATAACGCCAACGTCACCGGCCTCTACTGGAAGCTGCTTCCGGAGCAGGCCACGGCCCTGGGCTCGGGTGACCCTGGGGTGAGGGCCTGCGGCCGGCGTTGGCGGGGCGACCGGGTAACGGTGCTGCTGGCCGCTAACCTGACCGGCAGCCATAAGCTGAAGCCGCTGGTCATCGGGCAGCTGCCCGACCCGCCCAGCCTGCGCCATCATAACCAGGACAAGTTCCCGGCCTCTTACCGCTACAGCCCCGACGCCTGGCTCAGCCGCCCACTGCTGCGAGGCTGGTTCTTTGAGGAGTTTGTCCCCGGAGTTAAGCGCTACCTGCGCCGAAGTTGTTTGCAGCAGAAGGCTGTGCTACTGGTGGCCCACCCGCCCTGCCCGAGCCCTGCCACCAGGATGCCTGCCCTAGAGGACAGCGAGGATACCCCCCTGCGGTGCCGGCCAGAGCCCCTCGGGTCCCCCGAGGAGCTGCAGACACCTGACGGCGCTGTGCGCGTGCTGTTCCTGTCCAAGGGCAGCGGCCGGGCGCACATCCCAGCACCGCTGCAACAGGGCGTGGTGGCTGCTTTCAAGCAGCTGTACAAGCGGGAGCTTCTGCGTTTGGCTGTGTCCTGTGCCAGCGGCTCTCCGCTGGACTTCATGCGCAGCTTCATGCTCAAGGACATGCTCTACCTGGCCGGCCTCTCCTGGGATCTGGTACAGGCAGGCAGCATTGAGCGCTGCTGGCTCCTGGGCTTGCGGGCTGCCTTTGAGTCACGGCCTGCTGAGGATGGTGCTGGGCAACCAGCCTGTCAGGCCGAAGAGGCCGCCGAGCACAGTAGGGTGCTCAGCGACCTCACCCATCTGGCGGCTCTGGCCTACAAGTGCCTGGCGCCTGAGGAGGTGGCAGAATGGTTACACCTGGATGATGACGGTTTGCCTGAAGGCTGCAGAGAGGAGGTGGGCCCTGCACTGGCCCTGACAGCCCCCCCACCCCCAGCCAGCCTGCCCTCTGGCATGGGGGGTGCAGAGGAGGAGGAAGAGGCCAGTACCTACAGTGGCGCCTCCATGCCCACAGCTGGGGAGGCTGTCCGGGGGCTGGAAACAGCCCTGCGGTGGCTGGAAAATCAGGACCCCAAGGAGGTGGGGCCGCTGAGGCTGGTGCAGCTGCGCTCACTCATCAGCATGGCCCGGAGGCTGGGGGGAATTGGGCACTCCCCAGCAGTACCGGATGATGGTGTGTGACCAAGCTGACCCAGTGGCCTTTCTCCTATTCTACTTGGAGGGAGGGAAAACGCACAGTATCTAATCTCCCTTTCTCTCCTCCCCCTGGGGTAGGCCACCCCATGGGTACAGGGGTTCCAGCCCAGTTTGGCCTGGAGGGCCCCTGTTGTTGAAATGTTGTCCTGCTCCTTTGGTCTCCCCAGTCTCGGGGTGGGGAGGGATAGCTAGGACTGAGGTCCCTAGCTCACACTCCTCTGGGGCAGGTGCACGTGTGGGGTCTTCTGGCATGTGAGGCACAGCACCTATCAGCAGTTGGCTGTGTCCTGCTCCGGCCACTATGGACTAGGCCTGCCTCCTACCACTGCCCATTACATGCACTGGACAAGGGCCTCACACTGCTGTTTGTCTAGGGCCCAGGTGCTATGTGGTCCCTGCACTACAGCTATGGAATCCTCTTCACCACTTGGTTTTATTTTTTAAAACATTAAATCCAATTTTATAGATACTCTTTAGAGGGGCCATGAGAAGGGGCAGTGTGGTGTGCTCTCCAGGCTGCCCCCTGCAGTTGCTCTGTAGACTGAAGCCCAAAAGGTACAAGTCTAGAGCAGGGGCTGCTCTCAGAACAGTGCCATGGAGTGAGAAGGGGGACAAAGCCCTGCACTCAGGGCTTCTGGAGGGACTGGGTGCAGCAGTGGGGTGTAGATTTCTGTCCTCTTGTGTTTTGAGTTTTACTTACAAAAATTCCATTCTGAACAGATACTTCATTCTATAGGATGAAGTTAAGAGTCTGCATTTGAGCCCTGGTGTCTTGACCAGTGACAGAGGAAGCTCCCAGATTCTTCATGGGCCACAGACCACTTTTGCCAGCCCCAGGGCCCAGAGCCACCCAGCCTGCCCCAGAACAGGCCCCAGCACTGACAGCCACCTGGGCAGTTCACAGTGCCTTAGCCCCACACTCTCCTTGCTCCACCTATCCCAGCACCCCATTCAGACTTTCCCACCTTTTCTGGCACTGCCCAGGTTGTGGCTGAGGAGCTGCTTCTGGGCTGCCCAGTTTGGAAAAGAGAGAAAAGGGTTCCAGTGACTGTCCAGCACTTGTGCTGTTCTGCTACTCAACCTGGGTCTAGGTTCAGAGCCCTGCTGGTGGTGTGGGACTCAGATGCCCATGCATCTCCAGGTAGTGATGGGGTCTGCCTTTACAGAGGTGTCGCCCTGAAGCCCTGTGAGGGGCAGGGGCCCTCGGGTGCTCTCCTGAGTCTTTGCCTGCTCTCAACGTCCTAGTACTAGTCTAAGCCTTGAGAACACAGAGTTGGTGAGTGCAGAGGGCTTGCACATAGATGGCGGGTCTGTAGAAGGATGGTGAGCAGCTAGAGGGAGTGCCCCTCAAATACTTTTCCACACAAGTCCTTGGGACCACCTCTATCCAAAAACATCTCTGCAAAACCCTTATACATATATCTCAAGTTGGAGACCTGGAAAATTTGTAAGAAAATAGCTCAGCTGACCAGACTCAGCTGTTGCTGGAGTCTACCTGGCCACCTGTTTCTGGCCTCCCTAGACCTGCAGACCTATCCAGGGCTGGCCCTGAGTCTCTCTACTGCCCAACCTGGGCTTTAAGAATTCTGATGTGTTTTGCCCCATGAGCCTCCCCAGCAGCACAGGTAATAGGGCTGGGAGCAGCTGGTCTCCTGGGTGAAGGCCACACAGGCCAGGTGAGGGCTGTACACTTGGGCTTTGACACACAGCCTTTGGTGACTGCCCTTCAGCCTGGCTTCTTGCCACCATAGCCGCTCCTTTGGCAAGGTTTTCATCTCCAGCCTTCCTCCCAGTTTCAGTCCCTCTTGTTGGCCTGTGCCCAGTGAGGTGTCATACTGGGCAGGGGAGAGAGAAACAAGACTCCTTATGTCTCACTACCTGCCCTCTCCATCTGAGGCCCAGGTGGCTCTAGTCTGTTCCCCAGTACCCAGATGGTTACCTTCCATAAACAAGGCCAGGTGTGAGCTGGTGGGGGGTCCATAGGAACTTCTTAAAGTCTGCCAAGTAAGGGTCTGCCTCTTGGCTCAGCAGCCCCGCCATGAGAGCACTCAAAAGGTCTCTAGCATAAAGTCCATGTATATAGTAGAGCAGAGGCTGAAGCCCCTGAGCCCTGCTTGTGAGGATGCTCTGCCTGACTCCATGGGTAGTCCTTTACGGACTCTCAGGGCCTGCCACCAAGCACCTTGATAGGTGATAACCTGGTGTCCTGTTTTACCCCCACCTTCTAGCCACCCACCTCTGTGAAGTGAGGCCAGTCGGGTAGCAGGAGCCTTTTGGAAGGATATGTGCCCTCTTGGGGCTACATTTCTGCTTGGCCTCCCTCCCCCTTCACCTCAGTTAACAGCTGGGCCACCCTCTGGTTTGTGAGCCAGTTGAAGCTGCAATTCTTCTTTTAACTGGCCACCAGTCCTACAGGCATGTGGGGACCCCTGTGGCCTTGGAAGTGCAGACAGCCCTCCTGGTTCAAGCAGCATGGCAGAGGCCACCAGCCCCCACCTCCACTCCTGTTCACAGCTCTGTGATTAGGATCAAGGAAAGTTCTTAGGGTTGGCAGTCTCTATCAGGCTTATTGTGGACTTCTGGGCTTGGGGGAGGCCAGTGAAGAGAAAGCATGTAGGACAGTAGGATGAGCAGATGCAGACTTGTGCTGAAACCACTGCTAGCTGCATGTACTTAGAGACTGGGTCAGCGGAAAAGGAGGCACCCTAAGCTGAAGGGCTAGTTCCACAGAGAACATATCCTCTTTTACTACCTAATTGGCATTGCCTGTGAAGAGCCTGGTGGGACCTGGGTACTGTCTTCCACCATCTGCCCCTGGCTGAGTGTGCTCAAAAGCAGGCTTTGGACTGCTTGGGGCACTCCTAACACTGAGCCTTGGTCATAGCTAAGTTCAGTTGGCCAGAGGGCCTAGTAGTGCTTTATATAATAAATGCTGAACATGTCATCTTCATGAGTACCCCAGTTTAAAAGTCTTATTTGACTCAACCCAATGCTTGAGCTCCCCATAGATAGTTGGGGCAGGGGGCATATGTGTGGAATGACGTTGATTAAAGGAGGTACCACGATCACAAACATCAGTTTCTGGTCTTTCCTGGCAGTGCGAGGTAGAGGGCAGACCTACAATCATGTCCCCCTCCCCCAAAAGAACTGCCTTTCTTGAATCAATGTGTCCTTGTCATAGACCACCAGCTCCACCAAAGTTCTTCAGTCAGGGAGTGGCCTGCTTGAGGCCAGGACTGGACAATGGATGTATTTTTCTACCCACCAAGCTGAGCCCACTGTGCTCCCTAGGTGGACAGATATTGACTCAAATTCAGCAGATGGGCTGCTTGTCAGTGTGAAGGCAGGTAGCCTCCAGAAGGGCTGTCCAAAGAGTTCCTTCAGAGTTGCCTGTGCCAGGCCCCAAGCCCATGACTTGGCCCAGAGACCCTTAGAGGGACAATCTGGGTGCAGGTGAAGTTGGCAATTCCATGTTCTCGCAAAGCCCTCAAGCAATGGTGACCTGCAGCTGAGGTGGGAAATCTCTGCTGTTCACATTAAAGTCCCAGGTGCCACCGCGATGGGGGTTTCAGGCCCTTGGAATTTGGTTTCATCAGCCTCTGATGGATCCAGGCTCACCTGGTGCGCTGAGACAGCATCTTTATTCTCATCCCCACAGACAGGTGGTAAAGTTTGATTCTTCTGACAAGTGCCAGAGCCAGAATGAGATCAAGTCACTGGCTAAAAGCCAGGCTGCCTTAGGACCAGGTGCTCAGGGATGAGGGCTGACCCAGTGGGGCTGTATGTCTTCAGGGGAGTTAAGTGTGGCTGGAAGAGGGTCAGAGACAGGTGGGCATGAGGGATGGAAACGAAGTTCCTACTATATAGGTGCCATCATCCCAGTTTCACAGATGGGGATTAATCTGCCAAGGTTACCCAGCTGGTGGATGACACACAACCTTCCCTGCCTCTGGATATACCACACTGGCACAGCCCTTGGCCCACACAGGACATGAATCTCAAGGGTGGGTACAGACCAGGGATGATCTCCCTGGACTCTTCCCATCCAAAGGCCCCAGAACCTCAGCTGCCAGATCCATAGACTTGCTTCTCCCCAGGTCCTGCTGGCCCTTCGGGGCATGCTGAGGATCTGAGTCTTACAATCTGAGGCCAGCGTGGTAAAGCCAGACCACAGGGTTCTCTAGGACTCCCGACCCAGGGTCATCAGGCCCAGCCCCAGCCGGCCACTTGCCAAGAACATAGGGCCTAGAAGAAAAGAGCCCAGGCTCAAGTAAACAAGGGGTCTACATTCTTTCTGGTTGGCTAGGGCCCAGGTTAGGGTGCAGGGGAAGCTGACAAGCCCCCTCCATCTACCCACTGCCCCCAGCCCAGCCCAAGGCAGCTCTGCTGTGGGGGCTCTTGGGGCTTCTCCTTGGCTGAGACAAGAGCACACAACCCCTCTTCTCAGGGGTTGGCAAAGTGAGGCTCCCACTCCCCATAGGTGGTTCTGCCTAGCACTAGGTCAAGACCCAAGGCCTCTTGACTTTTCTGAGGGAGAGGGTGGGTCTCTTGTGCAGATTCTGTATGTCCTGAACCCTTCAGAGCTGACATGAGGGAACTGGCCTGGCTGCAGCTGTGCAAAGCCTCTGGGAAGTCCAAGGAAAGGCCAGGGCTCCAGACTAGGCCCCTGGGACAATCCTTCTCAACCAGCAGCTCTGCTCATGGCCTTGACCAACTGCTCCACCATGTGGACACGTGACTAAGAGGCCATCTCTGGGGACCCTCAAAACCAACACTGCCATTATAGTGGGCTCACTAGGGCAGGTACCTTCTGCCTGAGGAAGAGGGAAGGATATCTGTGCTGGTGGGAGGCTTGCCTGAACCTCTCAAGTCCTGTCACCTTACATTTCCCCTTGGGATGGGAGGACAGCATGAAACCCTCATACAGCAGTGAGTGGGCAAAGGAGCACTGGGGCAGCACAGATGAATGAGGTGGGTGGGTGGTCTTTGCCCAGGGCCTGGGTTACTTCCTACTAAGCTCCTTGGCCCGGCAGGTGGCAGCCTCCACTGCACTCATGGTAGCTGCTCGCAGACCACCCTGCTCCAGTGCATGGAGCCCATAGATGGTAGTGCCGCCTGGTGTGCACACGTCCGTCCGCAGCTGAGCTGGGAGCTGCCCCTCTTGCAGCAGCATCTTGGCTGTCCCCTGGGGAGAGTGTTGAGAGGCTAATGACTCAGGGGAGGAGCAGCTTTGATTCCATGACCTGCCTTCTCTGGACCACTGGAGGTAGTATAGGCCTGCCCTTCCAACATTCCCCCAGGACCACCCTCACTCACCAGCAGAGTCTGGGCAGCTAAGCGGTGGGCCAGGGCACTGGGCATGCCCATCTTGATGGCGCCTTCAGCCAAGGCCTCAGAAAATGTGCACACCTGTAATAGCAATGTCAGAAAGAGCGTCAAAGCCAACACTCCCTCAGTCCGGAAAGGGCTCAGAACCTTCAGAAATAAGGCCCAGAGCACCAGGCACAGATGCCAGGGCCCAGGGATCTGTAAAAGGGCTTCCCTCAAAGGACCACCAAGCAATGACGGTCCAATAAGAACAGAACTTGAAAACTCAGGGTCAGCCTAGAGAGGCCAAGCACCTATAGCCCCAGGGATACACCCTGAGGGAAGAGGCCATGGGAGGGCCTCTCTTTGTTGAGGGCTGGGGTGAGCAAGACAACACTCACAAAGGCTACTCCACTGCCACTGAGGCCAGTGTGGACGTCCACATAAGCCTCAGGCACCTCCTCGCACTGCCCACAGGCCTCCAGCAGGTTCTGCAGGAGCTTGGTCTCGCTGGTCCCAATATGGCGGCCCCGGGCCATCACTATGGCCCCCTCCTGGACTACACAAGGCAGGTTGGGTGAGACTCGTAGCACCCGGGCGTAGGGGGGCAGCAGCTGGCCAGAGAGAGGTCAGTGTCAGGGGCTTCTGGGATTGGGAACTGCTGGCAGGCCCAGAGTAGAGGCCTCCAGGTATGGAGGCCCTCCCATGGCCTCCGGCAGGTCTACCTCAGCTAACTCTGGCTGTGGCTCCCAAGCATGGCATTAGGAGTGAACCCTAGCCACCTAGCCCAGGTAAGCGACCTGTCACCTATGCAGGCTGGCTGGGAGACTGTTTGCCGCCTGATTCTGTCTGGTCATGGTTTTACCCTGAAAGGCACTCACCTCCTCCAGGATGCTCAGAGAAACCCCAGCAGCCACAGACACCAAGATGTGCTCAGCAGTGACCACAGGGGCCACCTCTGCCAAGACAGCTGGCAGGACATGGGGCTTGGTTGCAAAGATGACGAGTGAGCAGCTCTGCAGCACCTCCTGGTTGGACTGAGTGGTCTGACAACCCAAAGCCTGCACAGGAGACACCAGGACCAGGACCCTGGGGCTGTGTGAATTAGGGCATCTTCCCTATCACAGCCCTTCCCGCTGGAGGCTGCCCTGTGTTCCCATGGGTCCCAGGGCCTCTCTCGTGACCAAATATCTATACCACACCCACTCCCATAGCAGTACCTCCCCATGGCCTCTGTCCTCAGAGAATGCCAATGACCTACCCCAGCACACATGCAAATACACACTTTATCCCTGGCCTCTGCCCTCCCTTTCTGCAGCCCAGCCCCATCAGTCTCCACACTTCAGCTATGTAAGACAGATTCCCCTGGCCCTGATAAGTCTCTGAGCAGGACAAGAGCCAAAAAGAGGTACCCAGGCTCCTGAAAGGATACCCCACTCATGAAGAGTCTGGGCCGTCTACTCACCCGGAAGTGGCAGAGGCCCCTGTCTGATGGTGCGCTGGCCATCACGTGCTGAGCTTCCACTTTTCCTGGAAAGGCAGAGGGGTTGGTGAAGCAGGTTGGCTAGGGGGAGAGGAAGGTGCTCCCTGGCCTTTCAGGCTCAGCCAAGTCTGGCCCATCCTCGGCTCCCTGCCAGCTTGAGACTGCAGGAACCCAAAGCAGGGATGCTCCATCTACCTGGGATGAGGCAGTCAGACCCACTGATTCTACTGGGCAGTCAATGCCACATGCCTGGGGGTGGACATGGACACCAGGATCCGGTGGGGACAGGGACCCCAGGATCCTTTGCCTCCAGGAAAGAGAAGGCTGACAGGAACAGTACCCTTGGGGGAACACCAAGCCTGGGGCAGGGCATAGTGGCCGATTGACCACAAAAGGCACCACAGGGGTTCAGCTTCCTTGGAGAGGGCAAGTCTGTGGTGGAACATCCACGTGGAGGCTAAATGTCCGCTTGATAGAAATCAAGCAGGTACAGGAGTGGGGGACTGGATATAGTACAAGAGTGAGAGTTCTGTAAGATCAAATACGAAGACGAAAGTGTACATCACAACCTGAACACAGCCAGTTAATCATGACAGTGACAGCAATACTGAACAGTCCTGAGCAAAACATTTGACATATATGTCCCATTTAGTGTGTACAGCCCTGAGGGGAAGATGATACTGCCAGGTTTTATAGGTAAAACTCCCAAACTTGCAGTAACTATCTTCTGATTATTACTTTTCTGGACCTTGAAGTATGACTGAATGCAGAGCCTAAGTCACCTAGCTCTTTCTACACACAATCCACACACACTATGGTTTCTACATGCCATGGGCAGTGTTAGAGTAACACCAATACCCCCCACTGAATATCAGTGGTTCCCAATCAGGTATGATTTTGTTCTCTCTTTCCCCTCCATCCAGGCGACATTTGTCCATGTCTTGGGATATTTGGGGCTGTCACACTATGGGGTGCTACTAGCATCCAGACAGGGGAAGCCAGGGATGCTAGGTACCCTACAAGCACAAGACAAATTACCTAGCTCCAGCTCACTACCAGGAAGTGGTGCTGGCGCACAAAGAGGAAGAAATCAGAGGCTCAGAGAGATCAGCTTGACCATGGCCATGAGGTACTGAGCCAGTTCTGTCCACGAGAATTATCACCTGAACCACACGTGCAGCTATAAAGTTTCTATAGCCGCATTAAAAAAGAAACAGGTATGGGTGGCACCTGTGGCTCAAAGGAGTAGGGCGCCGGCCCCATATGCCGGAGGTGGCGCGTTCAAGCCCAGCCCCAGCCAAAAACTGCAAAAAAAATAGAAAAGAAAGACGTGTTCCCTGGGCACAGGGGAACTAAGTTCCGAGGCGCAGGGTCAGCGCTCCGCCTGCCCTCTCTTGGTGGAGAGGCCACCCGCTCGCCCCCGGGGACCCTTGCTGCCCTCCTGTCCTGCGTAGGGGCTCTGAGGAGACCCCGCCGGCACGGGCATGGGGCACGCGCACCCACTCCTTCCCGGACGAAAGTGCTCCCCGCCCAGGGCGCCTCCCGAGCCAGGCCAGTGTGTTCATTGGTATGTCGCACCTGCTCGGATGAGGCCCTGCGCGATGGCTTCCGCCATGCGGCCTGCGCCCACGAAGCCCACGCGCAGCTGGGCAGACCCCACCGCCGCCATCTTGCCACCCCTGACGCCACTGCCCCGTTTACCGGCCAACCACAGACCGCGCCCCCACGCCCGCCAATAGGAAACACCATCTTGCCTCTTTTCTTGTCGATTGGCTGTCAGGATTGCACACTTCGTCCCTGGCTTTTCCCGTACCGGCTTTTCTACCGGCTTGCAAGGCAGTGGTTTCCGCCTCTCCTCTCTATTCATTGGCCTGAGAAAGCTACACCGCCCATTGGCTGAGAGGGGGCGCGGGGCGGGGCCCACCTGTCTTGATTTTCCAAAGTGGCAGGAGCCGGGCGGCTGTGCGCTGGTCCTCGGCTAACCAGCGGGTGGTTGCTGAGCGCCTGAGCTGCCCCAAGGGAGCGTCGGGCCCGACTCCGGAAGACCCTCCCCAGCCAGCTGAGTTCCCCTGTGATCCTCGCGGGCTGCAGGGTTGGGGTGGAAAGGGACTTCCCTCCTGAGGCTAGGGCCCTCGCGGATGCCTGGCTCTCTTGGGGGTCCCGGGCCATCTCAGACTGACGGAAAGAGTGCGGGTGGGCGTGGAGGAGCCTGTAATTTCGAATCAAGAGAAAAAATAAGGTTTGACGATCTAAGATCGCAGGTTTTTTACTCTTCACTTAATCTTCATTTTAAATGTTTTGTTACTTTCTTCTAAACCCTTTGGCATTTTCTAAGTCCTTCAACAGTGAAATCCCCTCGTTCATTCAGCAGATTATGTGCTGGGCACCTGCAGTGTATGGGCCCTCCTCAGGGCCTGGCAAAGAACACAGCAGAGCAGCCAGAGGCAGTTCCTCTACCCTGCCACATGCTCATAGGCAGAGGAGACAGACACCACACACACAGCACAGCCTCAAGAGTGGTCATACTTCTGAAGCAGATAATATGAGAAGTCCACTGTTTCAGCCACTGTGGCCAGGTAACGTGGGTGGTATATGTTGGGGCCAACAGTGCTGGCCCCCATTACTGCCATGGAGCCAGGCTCATTGCTCAACCCTTCCTGTGTAAACCGGGAGAGTGCACGTTTCTAACTCACATGGCATTAGGACAACTGAAGGACTTCGTGGATAACAGAGCAACACAAGTTAGCTGCTTAGTAGTTGTATGCTCTCAGGGGAAACAGGCTCCCAGCAATGACCAGCCAGGCACTGGCCCTCGGCAGGGATCCAGCTGGTTTGAGAGGTGGGAAGGTTGTGTGGGGAATGGGAGTGGAGGAGAGGATGCAGAAAGACTAGCTTGGCGATGTCAGGAGGGTAAAGGACAGAGACACCACGGCCTGTCCTGCAATGAGTCTAGAGTGCTAGGAGAAGCTGCCGGGCAGGGCTGTAGCCACTCTCCCATGAGCTGCAGATGGTAAGGTAGTGGTGGTGGCACAAAGTAGTTGGATTTGGGAAATATTTCTGGATGTTGAAGGGCAGAATGTGCTGGAAGGCTGAGGAAAAGTGAGAAATCAAGGGCACTCTGGAGTTTCTCTGACATGCAGGAAGAGGAAAAGAGGGAGAGGATTGGTTTTCTGGGATAAGGCTGGGTGGAGGGCTGCCCTCTGGCCGTGGGCAGTGTTGCTTGAGTGCCCAGCTGGGTTGGCTCCTGGCGACCAGCTTTCAGTGTCATTCTCTTTGCCATAGACTCCCTGGAGTAAGTGTAGGGTCCCTGCTCTCCCAGGCCCCCAGGGACGTGATGGCTCTGGACCAAAACTGTGAGGGGGGCCTATAGCATCCAGCTCCTTGTCATTTACAAAAGGGAAAACTAGACCAGGTACAGTGGCTCACACCTGTGATCCCAGCACTATGGAAGAAGGCCTAGATGGGCAGATTGCTTGAGCTCAGGAGTTTGAGACCAGGCTGAGCAAGAATGAAACCCTGTCTCTACTAAAAATAGAAACACTAGCTTGGTATTGTGCCAGGTGCCTATAGTCCTGGCTACTTGAGAAGCTGAAGCAAGAGGATTACTTGACCCCAAGAGACTGAGGTTGCTGTGAGCTATGATACCATAGCACTTTGCCCAGGGCAACAGAGTGAAACTCTATCTCAAGAAAATAAAAATAAATTTAAAAAAAAAGAAAAAAGGGAAAACCCAGTTGCCTTGGGTGGAATGAAACAATATAAATGAATAGTGCCAGCTGACTGCACAGAGCTGGTAGGAGAAAGCCCAGCAGCCCAGTGCCCACTGGCTGTGGAGAGCCCAGCTTCCCTGGCCCATGCCAGGCTAGGCCTTTGAGCATTGGCTGGAGCTCCTAGTGCAGTGGTTCTCAACCTTCCTAATGCCATGACCATTTAATACAGTTCCTGTGGGTCGCAACCCACAGGTTGAGAACCACTGTCCTAGTGGCACCCTAACCACTGCGTGTCCCCTGAGCACCCTGTCCCCTTCCCTCACTTCCTTACCTGCTTGATCCAAGCTCCAACTCAGATGCTAACCCCCATAGTAGGCCTTCCCTGAATCCCACACATGCAGAGCCTTCGTCTACAAAGGGATGATGCCGGGAGCTGCAAGTCCCTCGAGGTCAGCAGGGGCAGGGAGTAGGGTTCCCAGAAGTTTCCAGATAAGCAAATGAGTAATTGTGGCAGGGCAGGTGCTTAGTGAAGGGGTGGAGGTGGGGGATAGGGAAAATTTTTTCAAGGAAGGGCCACTTTGGCTGAGACCTAAAAGATGGGAGCCCTTGACCCAAGAGGCAGTCTCCAGAGGGAGAGGTCTAGAGGATGAACACCTCCAGTTTGTAGAGAGACACAGATGTGGTGAGAGGACAGGGGATGCAGTGACATGTGGCAGACACAGGTATAGACTTGGTGGCTGGCATAGGAAGATAGGCCAATATTGTCCAAGTGAACACAGGCAGAAGTGAACTTGGACACACAATCTGCAGACAGAAAAAAGTACCTTCTGGGAACACTGAGAAGAGCTGGGCCCAGGGTTGAGACCAGAGCTGGGGCAGGAGCTGTGGGAGGCAGTGAGTTTGCAGGGGCCCTGCCCTAGCACTGACGGGATGGGTAGGGACACCTTCATCAGTTTTTACGACTTTGCCATCTCCTTACTTAGAACAGGGAGGTTGATGAGGTTCACCTCCCTGGGGGCTGGAGCTGGCCTGACCAGCAGACACCTCCTAAACACCAACTGTCCTCCATGGGACAAAGTCAGATCAGGGAGATTTGGGGCCAGGCCAGGCCTATCTCTGCTGGAGCCCCAGCGAAGTTGAGCCACCCACCAGTCAGCCTCCCTTTACCCCATGTGATGGCCCCACTTGGCCTATCCAGACTCAAGCCAGGCTCTTTCCCTGAATTCCCCAGGCCAAAGTGAGGGGGCTAGAGAAGCTTAGGCCCCCTAGGCCTGCTCCCGTGTGGTGAGGCTGAGACTGAGTAAGGAGCCTTGCCCTAAACATCCTTATCCCACCAACAGCTCACGCCTGGCTCACTGTGGCTGCCTCCTGCTTCCTGCCCACACATGCTTCCCTGCAGCCTCTGCCCGTACCCCACCAAGGGGTGGTCAGCTGCCCTGACCCACCAGCTCTCAGGCTGGACAGCAAGCAGGGTATAGTGGCCCTGGGGCTGGCTAATATGAGAGGCAATGCTTGAGCATGGGACATACCTTGGCACAGAGTTGCTGGGGCCAGGCCTGTGAAAATGCACTTTATTAGCTCCATGGGAGAGGGGCAGCAGGATCAGAGTGGACACACTCATGACCAGAAACCAGTGTGGGGAGCAAAGTGCTAGGCCTGGCCAGGCCTTGGTTTCCCTGAGGACAGATAAGAGTTGGCCCTGCTGGACAGCTGCCTGGAACCACAGGGCAAGATGGAATATGGGCCTAGGTTGCTGGGTAGTGTTCTCAGCTACTGGCAGGGTCTGGGGGTGGCAGCCACAGGGCTCTCTGCCAGCTGAGCACCCACCAGCGCTTGCTCTCACCACCTGGCTTCACTTCCGGGCCTGCTCGTAGTTGTCAGCGAACCAAGCACAGGTCTCCTTCACAGCTGCAGGAGAGGGTGGGGACAGCTGGTGGGTGGGGGAGGGCCAAGGACTGAATAGCCCCTTTGGAAAGAGGTGGTAGGGGTGGGGACCAGGGACACAGAGAAGTTACGGCCCCTAGGCAGTACAGACTCTGAGGGAGCCTGGAGACCAATCCATCCCTCCTCCAAAGCAGGGACAGTGAAGGTCTGAAGCCAAGAAGGCGGGCAAGTACTGGCCAATAGGTGTGGGCTGTGGGTGGGGCAGGAGCTCACCCTGCTTAAAGGGCGTGAACCGGAAGTCAGGCAGGTAGGCCCGCAGCTTGCTGTTACTGGCTGTCTTCTTAAACTGCCCATCTGACTTGGTTGTATCAAACTAGGCATTTGGTCAAGGTCACAGAGCAAGGACCACTGGTACCCCCAGCCCCAGCCAGCCCCAGCCAGCCCCAGCCAGCAAACCCACCTCCTCCTGCCAGGATGAACACAGTGAGGGGAGGAAGGTGTTCCCAAGTAGGAGGTCCCCAGGCAGGGAGGGCCTCTGAATATGCCCATGGTGTCCTCATCTAAACCCTGTCACTGGAACCAGAGGATACAGTGACTTCTCCATGGAAGTCCATGGCCTCCACCACTGCCTCAGCTGCCTCCTGGATAGAGACTTCATCTTCCTCACCCACTGTGGGGAGGGAACACCCACAGCCAGGTTAGCCCTCCTCTAGGCCTGCCACCCAAGCCCCCATGAGTATCCTTACTGCCACCCCTCAGCCAGCCTCCTGGGACAAAGGAGGAAGGGGAGCTGGGAGCTGCAGGGTCCCCACCTGACAGGATGATGGGCTCTACCTCACTGTACTCCCGCAGGACCCAGATAAAGAGCTGGGCCAGGTCCTGGAGATCAGACAGTGAGGGTCAGAAACCACAAGGAGTAGCCAAATGGGGCCAACAGGTCACCTCTCCCAGACACCCCTCCTGGGGAGGACACAGCCAGAACTCAGCTGGGGATAGGTCCCTTTTTTGGGCACTCCTTCCTCACGGCCATGCCCAGTGACTCCTGTAAGGCAGGAGCCCAGGGCCATGCAAGGAGCAGAGATCACTGCTCAAGGGGCTCAGCCTGGACCCTCACCTGTTCCCTGGCTCTGCTACCACTGCCTCCCCCACAGTTCAGCAGGGACAGACCCGGGGTTCCTGGGACAGACTTTCTGGGGAGAGAGCTGTGCCCTCCAATACAAACCAGTGAGTATATGAACTGTCTCCGAGGCTTGCCTGTGCCCCACACTGTCAAGGCTGAGCCGCTGCCTGTGGGTGAATGAAAGGGGCTGGTGTCAGATGAGGCACCTCCTCCCCAGCTCAGCCATGGCTCCATCAGCTGGGTGGCCTGGCACTCACTCTTGGCCAGGTGCACCTTGTGGATGAGGCCGGGCAGCACGTGGCCGTCCTCAATGTTGAAGTTATCATGAGGCCCGAAGACGTTGGTGGGGATGACTGCAGTGAAGGTGCAGCCGTGCTGCTGGAAGTAGGCCCTGTGGAGGCACAACGTCTCCTCCCTCGCCCTGGGACCACCGACCCCGCTCCTCCCCACCATGAGCTTCTTAGAGAGGAAATGCAAGAGGCCATGAGAATACCCCACGGGCTCCCCAGCCCCTACCACCCTCCTTGTGGGGCTTGAACCCTCTACCCCACTCCTGGCAAAGTGGCAAAGCCTTAGCAAGACATGTGAGGAGGACCTGTTCTGTATGTCGATCATCCTCTTGGCATATGAATACCCAAAATTGCTGCTGTGGGGCGGCCCATTGTGGATCTGGGGAGCAGGAAAGGAACGGAGGCTGCTGCTTCCCACTGGGCCCAGACAGCTTCCCGGCCCTGCCCAGACAGTTTTCTGGCCTCGCCCCTCACCATCGTCTCATCAATAGGGTAGGTGGTCTTGTCAGGGAAGATACAGGTGGACAGGCAGGACACCACCTTGCGGGCACCCACCTCAAAGGCGGAGTGCAGGACATTGTCATTGATGTGCACGTTCTTCCTCTGTAGGGGTAGGGAAGGGAGGTCAGATCCCTCCAGCAGGACTCCAGTCCTGACCTGTTCCTCCAGGTCAAGGAACCAGAGGAACTAGAAGTGGGGACACACTCTGGTCCCTCAAACACAAGCAGTACCTCAGCCTGCTCATTTGGACTGCTCCTGGGACCAAACAGAGCCTCCTAGTGCTGCCCTTACAGAAACCACTGCCTTCCCCTGCCAAGACTGTGAGGGTCCAGCCCTGCCTTCCTGGAAGTGCAGGAGAGAACCGTTCCCCCCAGCTTGGGGCAGGGCCCACCCAGGGCACAGCAGGTAGAGAAGCATAGGCAAGGAGCCCAGGTGGCCCAATCGGGCCCTAGGGTGCGGTGGGGCTCTCACTTCAGAGGAAGAAGGTCACACCTGGCTCAACTGCCCAAGTAGTTAAGCCTTGGCCTGCCCTATCCCTGCCCAAGTCTCACTGGCCCTTCTGTAAATTGGACATGAGATGCCAAGGACATTTAGACTTGGGAGAGAGGAGAGGTGACAGTCAGGGAGACTCCTGGAAAGGCTGAGACAGAGAGAGCAAGGGGTGCTGCCCTGGGGTGACAGGGCCCCTGGGTAGAATCTAGTCTAATCCTCTGCTGATCCCAGTGCCTAATACAGGCCAGCCAAGCCAAAGTGTTGTTCAGAAACAGGAAGGGCAGGGCCTTGACACCATGCCACACCAGGGTACATGTCACAACACATGAACCCATTTCACACCCTTGAACCCTGGACCCTGTGGGACTTGGCTCAGGGGAACTGGACTAGCACTGTCCTGAGAGTAGAGGCTCTGGAGGCCCAGAGGGCTCAAGGAACAGGAACCAGCCCAGGTCAAATGGCAAATGCTGGCTTCTTATAGCTCCCAATACTGCGGATTGGCTCCAGAGAATTTCCCCCTGAGAGGCATGACCCCAGACCCATCTGCATGCTCCTTTGCCCATAGCACCAAGTGTGAGCAACCAGAGGTCCCTCAGGGGTTGCCCACACCAGCCTGTGTCCAGCCCTGATCCCACTGGGATGGGAATATGAACTTGTAAAAGTGGGAAGCCCACCAGGAAGTCCCCAGAACCGGGGTTCCTAGCTGCCAGTGCTTGCTTCCCCCCAACTTACCCAGAAGTCCAGATTGTATTTGATATTCCGGAAGAGACCCCCCACCATTGCAGCAAGATGAATGACATGCGTGGGTCGGACCTTCTCAAACAGGGCCCGGGTCTGTGCTGCATCCCTGGGGGAAGCCAGACTGTCAGAACCCACATGGAGGACTGAGGGAACCCGCACCCTAGTGTAGAGCCACGACAGGAGAAGCAGCCAAAAGGCAAAATGGCCACGTTCAATGCCCAGTTGTGTGACAGTATGGGCTTCCAGGAAGGGATGGGAAGTGTTTGCCCAGCAGCACAGGTGCACACACCCAGGCCAGGTCAGCCACCCGGCAGAGAGGTCCCAGACATGTGGCTCCTGCCAGCTCAGGAACAGGCCCAGCATGGAGCTCTTTACTGTGAAGGAAGCAGGGGAAGACAGGTGCTCCAAGGACAAACTCACGTGAGATCAGCATCTTTGGAGGAGACAAACACCCAGTCTTCTCCAGGCAGGCCAGCACCATCTGCTACCACTTTCTGGATGGCTCTGCCCACCAGCCCAGAGCCCCCTGTCACTAGGATCCGCATGGACCCCTGGGGCTCACCCATGTTGGCTGCACCTGTAGTGCCAAATGGTGTGAGGCTGAAGCTATCATGCTCCCATCCTCTGGAACCCTATTTTCCTGGGGCAATTAGCACAGGGTGAGACCCTCAATGAGGGGACATGATCCACTGGCCCAGAAAGACCCAGATGGAATAAGCTGCCTCTTGCTCCCAGCCCTGTTCCCCTGGGAGCCCTCTGCCTAGAGCTCCACGGGGCGTTGAGGCTACCACCCACCCCAGAAGAGCTGGTCAGAAACCACGACGGGCCTTGGGCTCAGAAAAGGCATATTCTACTTTCTTCTGGCTGAAAAGGGGAGAAGCGATTAACCCTAGCCTTTGGGCTCCTGGTGCAGAAGATTATGGCTGCTCCCAGCCAAAACCCTTAAGTTAGGGACAGGATCGCACAAGCCTGATTCCTTCTGGGCAGATGGCGCCGCTGGCTCAGAACCGGACAGGTCCTGGGCGCCGCCACCCTCCAGGATCCTACTCTAGGAGCGGAAAATCTCCAGGACCAGTCTGGACCCACCGCAGGGCCCCAGAGCCAGCCCGTATGGTAGGACGCCCTGCTCCCAACCCGGTGGGCGGCCGGGGCAAAGACCCTCTAGGGGACCCCCGGCCGCCAGGCCCCAAGCCCGGGCCCAGGCCCCGCCCATTTACCCAGATCCTAGAGGCCCACAGCGTTCTCTGGCTCTCAGGGAGCACTAAGGTTCCAGGCCCCGGCTCGCCACGCAGCGGTCCCCCATGGGTGTCCCTCGGAGTCTGGTGCTACGTCTCACCTGCGCCTTGCCCCACTGCCCCGAGCTGGCACAGTTGCGTCCCGCAACCAGAGAGCCTCCAGCCCCGCGCGCCGCCAGGTGGAGGGGGTGGGGCCGCCAGGAGTGTGGGCGGTTCCCTCCTCTCCCTCCATCCCGGGCGCTTCTGGGAAATGGGGTCCTCGAGGTGCGCCGGCGCTGCCGGGCACTTCTGGGAAATGGAATCCGCGGCTGCGCAGCCGCCTGAAAGATGGCGAGGCCATCCGGGAGGCGAGGTCTGAGGCTGCGCCGTGGTCAGGACCGCCGGAACGCAACTGGGCACTGGCTGAACCCCTGCGGGGTCAGTGGGGAATGGGCGAGCAGGAGACACGGGGCAGTGCACCCCCAGCAGCCCCGGCGTCTGGCCCAGGCATCCTCAGGGTCCGCCGCCGGTGGGGGAGCGGGGTTGTGGGCGGACTGTCGCCGCCCGCACCTTTTGACGCACGGGGAGGAACTTCGATCCCGCCTTTGGAGCTGGCTTTTAGCAAACGAGAGGAGGACCGGGAAAGGCGGCCTTGGGGCCTGGCCACAAAAGCAGCGTTCCAAATGAGGGGCCCATTCGCCCGGATCACCGCTGCGGGACTGGGGTCGCCAGGAAGGTGTTGACGTTGGCGTCAGGCTCCTTTCCGGGCTAGGCTCCCTCTGGGTGCCCCAATCAACACAACCTTTCCCAAGTTTCTGCTCCTAAAGCTCCTAAAGTTTCATTCCCTCCGTCTTTCATGTATGCAGGCCACGTTTAGGAGTACTTAGATTGCAAATGTGTATAAGCACGTGCTTTCTTTGTTACTCTGATGTCGCAGAGGCTGAGACATGAAATCAGGCTCCAGAGTCACACGACCAGGGAGCCGACTCTGTCACCCTTAGTACTGGGTCACTGTGAGTGGCCATGGCAAGCTACCACTGTATGTGTCTCTCAGCCCCACTTCCACCTCTCAGCCTTGTGTACTGATCCTTTCCTATGCATGTCTTAGGAACTGTTGTTAGGCCTAGGCTAAAGTAGAAAAATACCAGTTAACTACTGGCAATTACTGGGCCGCAAGCCCTCAACAAAGTGGAGTAAGTCTGGTTCACTCCCAAGATAGATGGGAAAGTACTAACTTCTTGTTTGACTAACTCCCTAGGAAACAAACTGACTATCCCCAGACCTTTAAATAATACCAGGTGGAAAGAATACTGGAACTAAGATGTATGGAAAAATATTAAAGATGTATGACGTTTAACTAACCACAAAATTCTGTTCTGTACAATGCTTGCTTGCTACCCCACCTGAATGCACCTGGACAGCCTGCCAACCAGGATGCAGACCAAACCTTAAAAACCTGACTTCTGGCTCGGCGCCTGTGGCTCAAGCGGCTAAGGCACCAGCCACATACACCTAAGGTGGTGGGTTCGAATCCCCAGCCCGGGCCCGCCAAACAACAATGATGGCTGCAACTAAAAAAAAATGACCGGGCGTTGTGGCCGGCGCCTGTAGTCCCAGCTACTTGGGAGGCTGAGGCAGGAGACTAGCTTGAGCCCAGGAGTCAGAGGTTGCTATGAGCTGTGATTCCATGGCACTCTACCCAGGGGGATAGCTTGAGGCTCAGTCTCAAAAAAACAAAACAAAACAAAACAAAAAACCTGACTTCTTAAGCACTTGGGGCTGCTCTCAGAAACCCCATGTTGGAACACTGAGGCAGTCACTGGCCAGCTCTTTAATAAAAGGACTCTGCTGTAAATTTGGCTTGGTTGGCAGTGTAATCTTAGTGGAACTCCTGGGCATAACATGGTCACCTATCCTTTCCCTTTCCTGAAGGAGCCCCACACACACACCTATCCAGTCTCTCCAGGGGCAGGTGACCATCCTCACACTTGTGCTGAGGAAGGATACCTGGGAAAAGTAAAGTCTTAAAAAGCAAAGGCTTCTCAGAGAAGCCCAAGGACACTCCTGCAAGGTCCTCCCCATGGTAACCCAGTCCTTAAGAATTTGTAAAACTTAAGCTTCCTGGGTCCTTGAAACTAATGCTTACTGCTTGCTTCCATTTCTGTAAACCCTGCACATGATTTGACACCTCCAATGAGAGGTAACATATAATTCCTTTGTCTGTCTACTTGTGAGTCCAATAAGATAGAGCTGATGCAGAGTTCACGGTTTGGATTCTAGTCTGCAGCAGCTCTGCAGCTGAAATAAAACCCCTTCCTCTTCTGCAAATCACTGGTGTTAGGGAGACTCACTCCACTTTCTCTCCACCAAGGTTAGATTCCTGCAACAGTCTTGCATACCTTATCTCTAAGTTAGAGGTTTTTTGGTTTTTTTTTTTTTGAGGCAGAGTCTCACTTTGTCGGCTTTAGTAGAGTGCCATAGTGTCATAGCTCATAGCAATCTCAAACTCTTGGGCTCGTACGATTCTCTTGCCTCAGTCTCCTGAGTAGTTGGGACTACAGGTTCCTGCCACAATGCCCAGCCATCTTTAGAGATAGGGGCTCCCTGTGGCTCAGGCTGGTCTTGAACTCCTGAACTCAGGCAATCTACATGCCTCAGCTTCTCAGAGTGCTAGGATTACAGCTGTAGGCCACTGTACTGGGCCTTAAATTTTAGTATTTAAAAGCAATCATTTAATTGCAATACTCTTTATTGAATTTTGCTGATATTGCATATTTTTTACAAGTTGAGTGTGGCATCCCTGCATGGAGCAAGCCTACCAGAAACACTTCTCCAAAAGCATGTGCTGTGCTCACTTTGTGTCTCTGCATCATGTCTTGGTCGTTCTCACATTTCAAACTTTTTCATTATTATATCTGCTGCACTGATTGGTAACCAGTGATCACTGGTCCCCTGCCCTGTCTCTCTCCCTCCCCTCCCCCCTCCCCCCATACCTTGCCTTATGCATCTCTTCCATTTGGCTGTTCTGAGTTGTATCATTTATAATAAACCAATGCTTAGAAATAAAATGACTTCCTGAGTTCTGGGAGTCATTCTAGCAAATTATTGAACTTGAGGAAGGGGTTGTAGGAGCACCTCATCTATACTTGATTAGTCAGAAGTAGGGAGGGCCAGACTTTTGACTAGCATCTGAGGTAGAGGCAGTCCTGTGGGACTGAGCCCTTGTCAGAATTGCATTACATTGTTGGACACCCTGTTGGTATCCCCGGAGAACTGGTTGGTGTGCAGGAAAAAATCCCACACTTGGTATCATGAGTAAAGAGGCACAGTTCTCCCAAATAGCAATACTACCCAAAGCAATCTAAAGATTCAGTACAATCCCTATCAAAATTCTCATGGTCTTTTTCTTCACAAATGGAAAAGCCAATCCTGAAATTCATATGGAATTGTAGAATACGTAAAACAATCTTGAAAAAGAAGACTTACATTTCCTGAATTTTAAAGCATACTACAAAGCTACAGTAACTAAAATGGTACTGGCCTAAGAATAGGCAAATAAAATATAACCAAGAGTCCAGAAATAAACCCATATGTCTATGGTAAGTTGATTTTTAACAAGGGTGCCAAGACCACTCAAGAGGGAAAGAATAATATCGTTGACAAATAGTACTGAGACAACTGCTTAGCCAGTGACCTGCACAAAAATGAAGTTGGACCTCTTCCTCATCATTACCAAAAATAAAGTGGACCAAAGACCTAAATTGTTCTGTGAAAGGGCTTGATATACAACAAGGCACCAAATACTGAAGGACCAGAGGAAGAGAAAGAGGAGGCAGCCAAATCCAGTTTGTCCGAGAGGGTGGTGACTTATTAGAGGGAACTTACAGAGCCATGGTTTGGGGCAGCTGCGTGACAGATCTGTGCACCACAAGCCCCCAGACCCAGGACATAGATCTTGAGGGAGAAGTCTATCTGCTACATCAAGGGTGGGTAACCTTTGCATACTGGAAAGGTGCATTAACTCAGCTGTAATCAAATAAGGCTGCATTCAAGAAACCTCAATTAGACCCACTTAAAAATGTACATCATTTTGTAAAAACCTATGTACTTAATAATTTCAAGATATGAAATTTGTTAATTTGAAAGGGAATTTACAAACAGAGGCATGGCTTGGGGCAGGACAATTTTTTTTTTTTTTTTTGAGATAGAGCCTCAAGCTGTCACCCTGGATAGAGTGCTGTGGTATCATATCATGGCTCACAGCAACCTCCAACTCCTGGGGTTAAGCGATTCTCTTGCCTCGGCCTCCCAAGTAGATGGGACTAGAGGCGTCTGCCACAATGGCTGGCTATTTTTTGGTTGTGGTTGTCATTGTTTGGTGGGCCTGGGTGGGATTCAAACCTACCAGCTCAGGTGTATGTGGCTGGCGCCTTAGCCACTTGAGCTACAGGCACCAAGCCAAGGGCAAGACAACTTCAATTATGTCAGTGGTGTCCAAACTTTGGTTTCTCTGGGCCACGTTGGAAGAGGAAAAGTCGTCTTGGGCCACACTTAACACATACACTAACAAAAGCTGATGCACAAAAAAGGATCTGTACATAATTTTTGTGGTATCTGCCACCACAGAGAAGCAAAAATTGTCCTCACCTTATAATCGTAATTACACAGCAGCCTATTCAGAAAGTCTTTTAAAGCAAGCTGGGCATGGTGGCTTACACCTATGATCTTAGCAATCTAGAAGGCCAAGGCAGGTAGATAGCTTCAACTCAGGAGTTCAAAATCAGCCTGAGCAAAAGCAAGACCCTGTCTCTTTTAGAAATACAAAAAACTAGGTGGACATTGTGGAAGGTGCCTGTCGTCCCAGCTACTCCAGAGGCTGAGGCAGGAGGACTACTTGACTCAGGAGAGTGAGGTTGCTGGGCAGATTGGTTGCTTATCAAGTCCTTCTACTGTGATTGATTCCATATTACATAGCATTTTCTAATAGTGAGGACTGGTTTTATTTATTTTTTTTTAATGTCAGTAGATTTTAGGGGATACAAATGGTTTTGGTTACATGGATGAATTGTGGTGGCAAAATCCAGACTTTTAAGGCACCCATTGGGAGATTCTAAAGATGAGAGGTTCTGGCATAGAACTGGTGATAGTCCACAAGAAAGGAGAGGAGGCCAGTCCAGGGACAAAGAAAGACTTCACTAGAGGGGACAAGGAAAATTCAGAGTGACCAGGTGTCAGCTCCTGGTTATTTTCTTGCTTCTGTTGCAGTCATCCTGTAGGGACAAGAGAGGCTACCCAAAATTTGGTCCTGATGTCCACTTATATCCTGCTCACTGAAGCCTCCAAAAATGGCTTTAGAGGGCAGGAAAGGACACTGGCTGGGGGGGTTTATTGTGGTTGGTGAGGGCTTGAGGAGTCTTACTTGCAGAGAGGACTTGGAGGGAGCACTTGGCTTTCTTATTAGGTGGCCCAGAAGCGGGGCGAAGCCCCAGAGGGAGGTGGGGCTTTAAAGCTGACACAGTGAAACATCTAACAATGGGATCAGACTCAATGTTACATCTTAATTTTCCAATATGTGGCTTCAGAGGCCCTTGCAAATTAGGGTAGAATTCACAATATTTGTATATTCTGCATATCAAATAATTAACATTCCTCTTAAACATGTATATCTGCAGTTCTAGAGGTTGCACGTCCAGAGTCTGAGATTGATTCTTTACCTTGACAACTAGCTGGACACCAAACCTTAGAATTCCAAATTGTTTTAAGAAGTGTATTCAGTGGCTTGGCGCCTGTGGCTCAAGTGGCTAAGGTGCCAGCCACGTACACCTGAGGTGGTGGGTTCGAATCCAGTCCGGGCCTGCCAAACAACAATGATGGCTGCAACCAAAAAATAGCTGGGTGTCATGGTGGGCACCTGTAGTCCCAGCTACTTGGGAGGCAGAGGCAAGAGAATCGCTTGAGCTCAGGAGTTGGAATTTGCTGTGAGCTGGGATGTCACAGCATTCTACTTAGGGTGACAGCTTGAGGCTCTGTCTCAAAAAAAAAAAAAAAGAAGTGTATTCATTGAAATTTAATTATATTTTCAAGCTGGGCATGGTAACCTCCCAGTCACTGGGGAGGCGAAGGTGGGAGGATCATTTGAGCCCAGGAGTTTGAGGTTACTATAGTGAGCTATGATTGCACCACTGCACTCCAGCCTGGACAACAGAACAAGACCCCTTCTTAAAAAATATTTTCGCTTTCTGAGTGCGGCTGCTGGGTGAGTGTCTCCTTTGTTGAGGGACTGAGGAGGTAGGGCGGGGGTTCTGGGTTGGGCATGTGGACCTCCTTCTCTTGGCAGGGCTCAGGTGTGTAGTCCTGCTCCCCATTATGTGCACAGGTAGAGGGAAAGGGCTCCAGCCCACCTGGCATCATGTCTTCGGTGCCAGTGGCTTCCTATCTGACAGTTCTATCCTCAAATGCCGGGACACCGGGTTAAAATTTTTTTTTAATTTGAATTTCACAGTTTCAGCTTTAAGTTCAACAATACGTTAAACTGGGGTGGCACCTGTGACCCAAAGGAGTAGGGTGTCAGCCCCATATGCCAGAAGTGGTGGGTTCAAACCCAGCTACAGCCAAAAACTGCAAAAAAATAAGAATAGGTTAAACTACTCAGAACAGACAGTGGTTGTCTGTGTAAGAGTGGGAGGCCATCTCCTGGGCATATACTAGAAGAAACTTTCTGGGATGATGGTAATGCTTCCTATCTTTGTAGGGGTGCTTGGTTTTGAGTGTGTCCCCTAAGCTTATATGTTGGAAAATTAATCCCCCATGCAAACACAGAGAGGTGAGACCTTTTGGAGGTGGTTAGGTCATGAAGGTTTTGCAGTCATTGATCTAATAATGACCTTGAAAGTCAGTTTCTGATAAAAGGATGGATTAGGGCCCCTTCTTTAGCCCCTCAAGATCTCCTGCCTCTCTACCTTCCAGCATGAGATGACAAAGCAAGAAGACTTCACCACGTGGACCCTCAACCTTGGACTTCCCTGCTCTCAGAACTATAAGAAATAAATCTCTGTTCCTTATAAATTACCCACTCTCAGGGATTGTTATAAAAGCACAAGATAGACTAAGTCACACGGTAGTCTGCGGAGAGCCACACCTAAGAAGCCTTGAGCAAGTGGTCTTGCAGTCACTGTGTTATAGTTTGGTTTTATACATTTTAGGGATATAAGAATTACAGTAAAGTGATAGATCAATCATGGAAGGCGTACATTGATTTGGCCTGAAAAAGCATGCGAAAATCGGGCATGACAGTGATACAGGACAAGTGGCATCCCAGCCAGCTAGGTAGAGCTGAGGGTGGGGGTGGACCAGATGCCTCCACCTTGGCAGTGATGGTGTAGCGACAGTGAGCAGCAGAACCAACAGACTGGAGGGTAGGCAGGGGGCCCCTGAAGGAGGCTTCAGTAGCCAGAGGGGCCAGACAACTGCAGGGAGAACACCACCATCTTAGGTTTCCCTCCCCTTGCACTTATGGCTGAACAGGGAACCCATTTCTAGGCCTGGTCAATTTCATGTAAGTTTCACATCCCAGACATGTCCCAGACATGCTAAATGTAACTACAGAGGGCCCCATGCCACTATATATACCCCCTAGACAAAGAGCCTGGAGTCAATGAGACCAACAGACAGACAGAGACAGAGAGAGCTTTTCTCTCCAGACTTGGGAGCTTTGGTGTTTTTGTATTCTTTTCTGTAAATAAATCCTGTCTTACCAATGATCTGTGGTCTGTGGATTCATTCTTCGAATCACTGAGACCAAGAACCTACTGAAGACAAAGTTCTGATGTCAACAGGTTATAGGTGGGTTTAAAGATTCTTTAATTTGTAATTGGTAACAGCTTTGCCTAAGGGCTTGGAATGTTTTTACCGTGTTTCCCCGAAAATAAGACCTACCCAAAAAATAAGCCCTAGCACGATTTCTATGCATTGGTTAAATATAAGCCCTACCCTGATAATAAGACCTAGTGATGGGCATGGCTAAGTAGTGTATCTGCATAGCCACGCCATGCATTTTGGCGTGGAGTGGTAAGGAAGACTGGAATACCTTTTATCTGCCACAGTTCCTTTCTCTGAGCTGTTGGCACTTGCGCGGGTGCACGTGTGGTAACCGTGGTTGCAGGCATCCTATTGTGCACATGCGAACAGCTAGGGGAAAGGTGTTCACACCTCACTAGTGCCAGCCCCACCAACAAGGTTGGCTCCCCCTGTCAGGTTCCGGCCGTGCTGTGCACGCTGAGGCTTCAGGTGGAGTCGGAGACATAGAGACTGAAGGTCTCCACAGTGAAAGTCTCCTTAGTGAAATGAGGTACAGGATGCTCTCGTTTTTTACCATATTGTGTGTCCCCAGGGGGAAGAAGGAAAGCTGTGGCTGCTATTTTACCCAGAACCAGTCTAGCAACAGTCTGTGAGCCTCTCTCACCCCACAGAAATATCAGTAAAGCTGCTGCTCCCCAGCACCGGCCAGCAACAGTCTTTGGGCCTCTCTCACCCACCCCCCACAAACACCAGGGGGTCGGGGAAAAGCTTCAGGAAGCAGTCTGCTACTGAGCCCAGAGAGATCATCCCAGCTCCACTGTGCAGATTGGACCCAGTGCTTGCTGGATCCCAAATAAGGTAAATAATTCAGTCCTTACACATCAGCTTTGCTGGCCTATCTCTGCTTTTCCTGAGCATCTGTATCCCCAGACAAGATGAGTGCAAAAAGAAAGAGCTATTCTGTTGAGTACAAGAAAGGAATTGCCGAGGACTCCCAGGGCAAGAATCTTACGGCTTTCTGCAAAGAGAAGATGCTGGATATCACAATGGTCTGAAAATGGTGGGCAGAATACGATAACCTCAGTCTACATGTGGACAGAGGAAATGCTAAGAAGCGCAAGTGTGGTTCAGGTAGGCAACCTTTATTTCCTGAGCTGGAAAACATGATCTGTGAATGGACTGCTGACAGGAGAGCAAAGACTTTGGTTGTGCGCAGGGCTGAGATTCAAGCATTTGCCCTTGCAATGGCACCACAGTTCGAAATATCCCCAGAATTCAAAGCATCACAATACTAGCTGGATGCTTTCCTTCAGTGATATGAACTGTCTCTAAGAATATCAACAACACTGTCTCAGTTGGAAGATGCAGAAGTTATTAAGTGAGCACTTGCATTCAAGTCCTTTGTTGATGGCATCGACTTTTCTAAACACCAACCTTGCAACATGATTGCTATGGATGAAACTGCAGTGTTGATGGGTCAAGGAGCCCAAACCACAATTGAACAGAGGGGTGCCTCCTCAATCTATGTTTCCTCCACTGGTCACGAAAGTTCACATTACCTGTATTTTGGCCATTTGTCTGTATGGAAAGCTACACCTCTTATCATCACTAAGGGCAAGAAAGATAAGATTAAACATGTTTCCAGCATTTATGTTCTTGAAACAGAAAAAGCCTGGTGCACACAAACAGTTATAAGGAAGTGGCTTGATGTAATGCTGCTACTTGTTTTGCGAGATGGCCAAAGAGGTCTGCTAGTCTGGGATTCGGCCAGCACTCACTGCGCTAAAGACATGAAGAACTTCCTTGTAGAGAGAAAAATAGATCAAATAATGATTCCCACAGGAATGACTGCTTATCTGCAGACTCTTGATATTGCAATAAACAAGCCATTCAAAGACCATTTGCGTATGGAAATTAACGACTACATTGAAAATAGAATGACAAAAAAATCAGCGTGGAAACTTTGTGAAGCCTAGCCTGCAAGAGGTCAGGATTTGGGTGACGAATTCATGGAATAAAATCACTGACAGTGTTGTTACCAATGCACTCTGAGCAGGTTACATGGATAAGAGCTGCTCATTGAATGAGAGCTCTATTGCTCGACATGACAGATTGGGGCCAATGGTTCTAAAGGAAATGGAGTTGCAAGAACTTCAGGATAGAATTCTGGGTCTGGAGAGTTATGACGATGTTCCAAGAAGAAGATGACTTAACTGTATTTGAATAAATGTAGATTGTTGTATTATACTTAATAAAAATAAGACAGTCCCTGAAAATAAGTCCTAGTGTGTCTTCTTGAGAAAAAATAAATACAAGACAGTGTCTTATTTTTGGGGAAACACAGTGGCTAAGATAAGGAAGGCTGTTAATCAGAGACAAGCCATTGGACATAGAGTTAAGTGCTCTGTTATATAAACTGAAGGCCTGCATGTGTGGTTGGAGCTCTGTCTTGCACAGCCTTAGGCCTGTTAACGAGCTACAAAGGACATCTCCAAGGGAAGGGGCATGATGAGGCAGGTCTGATCTTCCTTCTCAAGGCCAGCAATTAGCATTAAGCCCAAATGCTAATTAGGTTCTCAACCTGTGGGTCGTGACCCCGTTGCAACAATGAAAATACATTGCAGCATTAGGAAAGTTGAGAACCATTGCATTATGGTATTTCTGAGATCCTCTTGGCCAAGGGAGGGGTCCATTCAGCCAGCTGGGGGGGCTTAAGATTTTATTTTTGTTCACATCCCCCACTTTTGGCCAAGATCTGCCAACATTGATGGCCAGACTTTTATTTTGTGCCATCGTTGCCAGGTGGTGTGGCTACCTGTGTTGGGTCCATCCAGGCTCTTGGTGGGACCCTGGTGCCCAAGGAGACTTAAGAGATGATAGCCAATTAAATGTTATGGGCCAGATGCAAAGGGAAGTGGAGAGGCATCTATCAACTCCTTAAAACCTTAGACCTGGGGGGGAGGGAGGGTGATTGGTGGGGTCACCTCTATGGTTTATCTTACAAGGGTACAAGTGAATCTTTCTAAAAGCAGAGCATGAATGTCTTAACTCAATAACTAAGAGAATGACATGAAGGTTATGTTAACCAGTTTGATAAGAGTATTTCAAAATGTAAATGAAAACAGCACACTGTACCCCATGATTGCATTAATGTACATAGTTATGCTATAAGAAATAAAAAAAAAAACAAACCTTAGATCTGTGGCCCCAGTGCCCAGACTGTGTACTGATACCTTCTGTAGCCTTCTAGGAAATGGGCTGCGTGGGCAGCAAGAGGGGAGCAGCATGAGCATGGGAAACTTCATCTGTAACTGCAGCCACTCCCTATCCCTTCCGTTACCGTCTGAGCTCTGCCCCCTGTCACGTCAGTGGCAGCATTAGATTCCCAAGGAGTGTGAACTCCACTGTAAACTGCACGTTGGAGGGATCTAGGTTATGCCTCCTCATGAGAATCTAATGCCTCCCATGCACACATTGCCCTGGTCCATGGAAAAATTGTCTTCCATGAAACCTTTCCCCAAATGGTTTGGGACTGCTGTTCTAGGTAATATAAAAGTAAAAACCAAAATGTCAAAGGCAAGGTTACAAAATTAATTTATCTGTAAGTGTTGAGCTATAGGTAAGTTCTTGGGTTTAGTTGCAGAATTATAGCAATTTATTACATAAAACAAA